AAGTGAGCTTCACCCCCCTCATCCACTCCCTCCCACAAAAAGGCTGTTTTTGTTCCCTTCTTTTTTTCAATGAATTGTTTCTTTATCACCAAAAAAAAAAAGTTTCTAAGAGTTTTTGTAATTATGAGTTAGGTATTTTTCTTTGGACTAACGACCCTTTCTTTAAGCGTGTTCTTTGGTCGGGCTGTTTTTTTATATGCCCTTGCATATTTTTTCATTTATCTCAATGAAAGCTGGTTTCTTATGACAAAAATGAAGAAAAAACTCCTTGGACATTAATCACCTTTCATTTGAGATGATATAATCCCGTCTTTTCCTAAAAATGTCTTGAAAACCTCACCAAAATTATCAAAATCTTCGAGGAAGCTTCTAGTTTGAACTATGGTAAATCTGAATTACTGGGAAGTTATGATTCTTTCATTGATCATATTGCTTTTTTCTTTGGTTGTGGCCAAGCTCGCTCTTGGGGCTTCCCTGAACAGAAACCTACGTTATTCTTCATTTTGGGTGCCCATCATTTGGAGCATTGAGAAAGCTGCAAAGCTAGAGGATTTCTCTTCTTTCTGAAGGACATACGATCTTTATTAAAGCAACTCCCTTTAATCCCCCCATTTATTGCATGCCTGCTGATATGGTTAATTCCACAGCGAAACTTTCCAGAGACTTCAACAATAAAAAACTGTCACTTGGGTGGGTTTTGGACTACATAACCTTTGTAGATCTTTCTTTCTTCTTTCCTTTTTTTTATTTACTATTATTATTATTTTTTTCTGAGAAACAAAATATGTATTGGAAAAAGAGATCGAACAGCCTAAGGCAGGGGGAAGAGGGATCCCCCTCCCAAGAGAATTAATGAAGGGTTGCCTTTGTAGCTCTTTCTTGGTGTAAACTTTATGCCGCAGTTTAAGTTCTCGTTGTAAATTTATTGTTGTCTACATCTATTGAAAGAATTTTCTGGGGGGGTTTGCCTTTCAGGTAAACCTGCGGAAAACGGTTACAGATGGCTATTAATATCTTTTGTAGTTAGGCGTAAACACAATTAATATGACCATAAAGATGTAGAAAATGCTAAGTCAGAGTATACCACAAAAAAATCTATGAACTTTTAACTGAATGTTTCAATGCTGACCTATCATGTAATTTAAGAAAATTTTGTCTGCCTCTTCTGACAGAAAACACCGAAGGATAAGAAAGCAAGTTTGGTTATCCATGGTCGTGTAGATAAGGTATTGTATTTCTCTTTCCTTAGCCTGTTAAGAAAGAAAAACTACATTTTACTATTCTTGTTATTCATCTGGAATACCAAGAACAATGAATTTGTATTTATGCCATACATTGGCTTTGAAGTCGATCAACTCCATCTGATATAAATAACCTACCATGCATACTTTAAACCCTAAATCATAAATTTATTTTATTTAATATTTTTTTTGTTCAATGTGAACTGCCATAGGTCATTGCTGGTGTAATGGAGATCCTAAATCTGCAGATTCCCCCATTTGTTCGAATCGATCTTTTCCAGATTATACTTTCTCAAGGCTTGAGTCTTGGTAACTCTTTCTACATTTTTTCTTACTGCATGGCATTAGGCATGACGAGGGAATACCATTAGTCTACTGGACCTCTGCATTAAGTTACTTGACAATTGATATTTCTAGAATACTTATCCACATGTAATACTTCTTCCTTATCTATGAACGAAAATCTTTATGCAATATGTGAAATCTGGTAGCCACCATCTTTCTATTGATTTTTGGCTTTTGGTGTCTTTTTCAGACCATGGTTTAGAATGTTAATTTTCTGATTAATAGACTTAGAAGTGGAGGCATGTCTCTCCCTTTGAACTTATATTTGCTAGTGTAACAAATGACTAGAACTTTTCAGCATCTATCCTTCAATTTTGTTCTTGAATGTTGTTCATGTTTGAATCTTTTTTCTTTATATTACTTCTCTCAGTGAATTGATAGGTTAATTCTCGTGTTTCAGATGAGAATTATGATACTTGAATCATTTGGTTATCTAGTCTCCGAGGATAAAAAGTTCCCTTTTGATTCTTTCATAATTCACTGCACGCATTTGGTAGATGTTTTAACATTTCTTTCTAGCCAAATGTTGGAATGATGCTTTCTTATATTCTTTTGACATCCAAATGAAGCAGTGAGAACCATGGGTCAGAATGCCGTACAATATTCGCCTTTTCATGAGTTCAGTTTTTTTCTTTTGTTGCAGATAAGAAATTTGTTAACTGGACCCTTCGAGTGCTAAGTGTACATGGACAGAAAGCTCCATTGCCATTTATCAAATCTGTTGAGGTGATTTATTGAAATCATTGCGCTTATTTTCCTTCATATTGCCATTTTAACTCCAATTTGTGACAATTGAGGTCTTGTGTTCTAGAAAGTAGGTTGAAGTTGTACTTATAGTCATCTCTCACTTCAATTTTTTTACGGCTGACCTAGATTTTCTTTAGACAGCCGTAAAGGGCAATCTTGGTGATGGTGAAGGTTTGGAGCCTTGATTATCAAAGGTGTTGCCGTGTTGGTTTCAAGCATCTAGATGGGGTGCTTCATAAGAGAATAATTTTGTGTTCTTGAGCTAATGTTGGAGTTCTCAAAATATGCTTGTAAAATGATGGGGTCGGCCTAGTGCCATTAATAGATATAGGAAAAGCCTAGATATTCTTGACACTTTAAGTGACTTTAGGTTTGTTTCGAAGTCCTGGCTAACTTTTTTTTCTACTTTTAGAAACAAAAAAAAAATTTTGATGTAAAAAACCTGTTTGGCAAGATAGTTTCTAAAGAAAATACGGAGAAGAAATGAAATGAAAATACAATGACAAAAGATATATTCCTATACAGTTTTTAGAACTGAAAAAATAATGGGAAACAGTTTTAAAAGGTTAATCATAAAAATTTCAAGGTGTCCTATTAACTCATCTCTTTATTGATAATTTTTGGGATAATGGTAACACTTCATACGTTATAGTTTAGCACTTGTCCATGTTCTCCCAGGTTTCGTTCCTGGATAATCAAGATTTCAAATCAGCTACTTTACAGAGCCAACCATTTCTCCTTAAAAGGTAATTTTATATTCTTCCTTCTTCAAGGTATAATTTCTTCTTGAGATTATTTAGGACATCACTAATTTTCAAGTATGTTAATTTCATGGGATAACTGCACGAGACATTTGGCATATTAAATGGTTTATCATATATAATATGAGTCCACATGAGGACTCTGTTCTTTCTCGATGTAATGGACAGGCTTATGTTTATTGTTAGTCTTCTTTTCTTAGTGAGATATGGCTCTGATTAGAAAATGAGAAATTGGTGTTTCATGATTAAACTCTCTAAATCATTACTTGCTGCAGCCCTGCGGCCGGCCCGACAGTACCTTGTGCATTTTCCACGGCTACATTCTCTTTTAGTCATTTTATAGAACCTTGGTTTTTTATGCTGAATGTCTCACTGAGTCCTCGATGATGTTAACTTTGAAAATACCAGCTTATTATTACACTGCCATTACTCATTCTTTTTATTTTTCAGGAGAACTGGAAAGGCAAAATCATTTGAGTTGGTTTTAAGGCTCAATTTCAGCGAAGGTTGTGGTAGTTCGCATGTTGAAATTAATATCCCTGTTGATTTTAAGGTGAGAAATTGAAATGCTTCCAATTAAGAATGATTTTACTATTAGTGACTTGCATGCTTTAATAATTAAGAATGATTTTAATATTATTGCGTGATGTTCCTTTGAATTTTAAGTTAATTTTGCCACTAAAGTTCGGGTTGTTATATATTTTACTAATCGTAGCGAAATCACACCATTTAACCATCAACAACTTACAAGTATACTCTCTCCGCTAAGCCTGAAAATTCCTTATCTTGCATAAAAGAACTTTGTTCTTTTCCCCTGTCTATATTTCCCTGAAGGTAGTTTCAGATTTCCTTTAAGATCTTAGTTTTTCTTTTATTTCCAGCCCCTCTAATGGTGTTGCAGGTCTTAACTGATTGGAAAAGCTTCAAAATTTCTGTCACACATTGGAGTTCAATTAATATAGAGGTTATTTAGATATGAGAGAGTGGGCCCACTCTCTAAACTATCTCATACAATGACTCAAATAAAAGGAGAGCTCCTCCCAATTTTCCATTAAGTCTTGTTACGTCTATACATATTGGCCTACCCGATATACCTAGATAGAGATACATGTATGGGGTAGGCCACTATAGACAATTAACCAGACGACACGTTTTTGTCGCCTCTTGCCTTGAGACGATTAAGAAGCATGTCGCCTTAAGAAGGGCAAAAACACTTTGAATATGGAATACCAACATGATCTTGAATAAGAAGATAGGGTTTTGGTCTTCCAAGGCCTGCAAACATAGACGGAAAAAGCCATAATTCCTTAATTTGTGCCATTAACTCTGTCAAAAGCCATAAAGCTCCCAGGGCGGCTCCACTGGTATGGAGTTGGGATCTCTTGGTCATACCAGCTTAGAGGTCTCGAGTTTCAACTTTAGGGTGAGCTTAATACGAAAAATCCTCAATGTTTCTTGGGTACAGACTCTGGCGTAGGTGCAAGACTCCTTAGTATTTCTCTCAGTGCTTTGAGTAAATTATCTTGGGAGTATTTTTCTCATTGGCCACCAGTATTTTTTCTTGGATGAGTCTTTTTTCTACGCCTTCATTTTTGTACGAAATAGATATCTTTTTCATGTATCTGTCACTTAGATATTGGAAATACGATTAGATTTCAATGCATACGTATACTGGTTGATCAGCGATCTGTTGCTCTTAATGCTGTGCAGGTCTCTGCAGATTGTATGAATTTTGATAAGGAGGTTGTATTTCAGAAACTGACAGACGAGGCAGTTCAAGATTCCTGCTGCGGAAAAAACGCAGTTATTGAGCGAAAAGCTATCTCGATCCCAAGGAGTGAGGTTACTGTATATGCCATTGTAACTAACATTATTAGGTATGCCAAAATCTCAAAAACATTAGAAGTAGATTCACTTACTAATGGCGATCTCAAACGACGAGGAAGTGTAAATGGTTCTACAACATCTAGGAAGCGGTCGAAACGACAGAAGCGCAAATCTAGATATTAGTGTGCACACTGTACATATTTTGTTATGTGTCGAAACACCGAAAAAGAAATATCACAAGGGGACTGGGTGGATTTTGTTAGATATGACACTCGGTCTCGGAAAGTGACATAGTTAGGACAGTTATCGGTAGGCATCAACTAACCGCTCAAATTAAGACTTCGAAATCCATGTGGTACATAGCTTTATTGTGGAAGTGTATTGGCTGGCTGCTGGTAGATTATGTTGATAGCTTTTGGAACTACTGATACCTCTGAGATAGTACATTTTGGGACTGTCGGATATTCAAATGTTTTCGTTACTAATTCATGTAGTTATTATCGAATGCTTTATCATTACATGATACCAAGAAATTGATATGAATCTCGGAGACATCGGTAGACCCTCTCCCGAGATGACTCGTGTTCGGTTTATTTGGATTGCTTATGTAGGTTTGTTGCAGTGTTTTTGTGCCTGCAGGAGGGTTAAAACTGGAAGAAAACCATGTGTTTCCCCTTCTTTCTGAAACAAGAGTGATTATTGCAGCTCACTCCTGGTCTTATGTAGTGTATCCCATATTTAAAGATACATTTTTATGACTAATTGAATTATAACAAATGATACCATTTACCATAGCCTAATTATTTGTATCTTCAATTAGTTGGATCTTAATATAATGTTATAAAAAAATCCTTTCCTAATGTGAAATGTTGATTGACATTTGACAATATTAACTAAAATAGTTTTTATGCACAGTTAAAAAAAAAAGTTTCTATGAAAGTTATAAAGAACAACTTTTTGAAGACTAAAATAGAATATTTAAAAATTTAGAAGTCAAAATAAAACAACGTATAAAAATTATTATTTTTAATTGTTTTTAGTACTAATCAACAAAGTTAACGATGACAGTATAATTTAACTGGTTAAGATATTTATTCGAGTTTCAATTTTCATCTCATATGTTGTAAAACAAAGTTAACGGTGAGAAGTTATTAGATGTAATTGAAAGTTTTGAAGTTTTGAAATTTATTAGAATAGTTTAAAGTACAAGAATGAGATACACATTTGTTAAAGAATGAGAATTTATCAGAAACATTTTGAAAGAAAGGCTTAACAAATTCAATTGGCAACAATTTAGTATAAATTAATTGTAAATATTGGCACCGATCCTTCCTTAATGACTAGTTAATACAATTATTTATTTTTTGGAAAAAAATCTCTTATTATTTTTTTATATCCTGGCTCATTCCTTTTAAATTCTTCCGAATTTATCTTGGCCCACTTGAACTAATGAGCCAAACCCACGGTAATTATTTTCTTTAACCTTGAATAGCTTGTTTTGAGATAATGTCTTCGAAGCTGTTTTAGAAACTTATTTATACAAATGTCTAAAATTTTTTAATTTTACACTTTTAGATTTCTCCGTAGGATTTTATTTTAATTCTGATTTTACCCTTATTTTATTGGATTTACATTTATTACAGTTATTTGTTTTCTTAAATATAAAATATTTAATTCCATAAATTATTATCATAATCATTTAATTATCGTGTCCCCATACTAATTTTCAACCCAAATCTCTTAATTCACCGCTTTATAACCTTAATTTACTCCTTCAAAAAGATTGATTTTCCCTTAATTTACTCCCGCATTGGTGCTCTATCTTCAAAGACAATTCAAAATCATATAAACATCTTTTGAAGTCTCAATAAACATATATCTGCATATTCAAAAAATATATTCAAAATCACAGTATATATCCACTTATATATCCGCATATATACCTTCAAAATCACTATAGTATATATCCGTATATCCGCATATATACAAGTTGAGTTATAAGATGTATCATAATCAAATCACTATAATATATATATATATATATATAATATTTCACACGAAATCAGAAATTGAAAAAAACAATTGGAATGCAAACCTTTCAATCGGGAGATGAACTACTCTGGCGACCGGGAAAAATGGAGGCGGTCGGAGATGAAGGCAGACGTCGACCGGAGATGAAGGCAGGCAAAAACGACCGGAAAAGAAGAACCGACGGAAATCTCCTTTCGAAGTGGATAAACACACACGAAATGCTCTTGCGACAGAGAAAAATGGAGTCGGCCGGAGAAAAACGGAGGGTCGGAGGAAGAAAAACGAACGATCGGAGGAAGAAGAAAGGGGTGGGTTTCGAAAATGGACGGTTTTTTGGGGTTTTGAGATTTTTTTATTTTGGAAAGTACCATTAGCACATTTTAAGAGATTTGACCACAAATTTACCAATTCTATATTTTAATAATTATTTAATATTGAGATGGTGTAAATTCTATATTTTTCAATCCCTTTGCGTAGTTATGATTTCTAAATAGACATACTAATCCCTTTTGTTTTAGTTGAAAATGTTTTTTTTTTTTTGAAAATTACATTAAATAACATAAAAATATCATTATTTTTTTGTTTTTTTTTTCAAAAATGTCACAAGTTACTTTTAGTTGGAGTCATCTAATTGTATAATTTTGTTTTTATAAAACTTTAAACTTAATACTATATAGGTATAAATACATATTTGGCTATTTTTGTAGTTCCTTCCTCTAATGTTTTTTCCTTTTTCTCTTCAATCTCGTAAATGGATAAGGCATGTTCTTCCATTTTGTATCCCATTGAAGAAAGACCAAACAAGTTTCCCCTTTGTAAACTTATCTCTTTCACCAATTTGCAACCAAACAAAATGAAAAATAAACTCCTTTTATTTATTGGATTCAACTGCAAAATTAATCTTTTTTAGTGTTAAAAAAGTTTTGAATTGTATCTATAATAAACCTCCGATCATTATAGTTATCTTCATTTTTTAAAAAACATCCGTCTCCAGTTATTTTGGTCCAATACTTTCAAAAGGTTCGTTTTAGTCCTTAAACTTTTAAAAAGTGACCATTTTGATCTCTTAATTTTATTTTTTTATCTCATTTTTTCTATCACAATTTCAACACGACACTACACTTGATATATTTCTTGAAATGTGACAACGACTTTTTATTAAAGAGTTTCTGTTATGTATATAATTTATATTGAAATTTGAAAATAGGGACCAAAATGTTTGATTTTTTAAAGTACATGGAACAAAATGAACCTTTCGAAAGTACAACGACTAAAATAAATCAAAATTAAAAGTAGAAGGACCAAAATGAAAGTACAAGAACGAAAAATGAATAAGTTAATATTTTAATCAATAAAATAATAAATCAGTTAATGACGTGTCAAATTGTAAATAGGAGTATTTACTCTCATTTTACTAGTAATTTTTCCAACCGCTTGTACTCCTAGCTCATGGTTTTTCTTATTACAAGTTTTGTGCTTTAATTTTTAGGGTCTGTGAACTTATCTAATATGTTCATAAACTTTCAATTTTGTGTTTAATAGATATTTAAACTTTAAATAATATATAATAGGTCCCTACACTTTCCATCTGTGTTTAGTAGATCCTTAAACTTTCAATTTTGTATGCAATAGATCCTTGACCTATGACAATTTTTAAAATTCAAGAATTTATTAGACATGAAATCCAATCTGACGGTCCCTTCATTTTAAAAATATTGAATATGCCAGCAACATATTAGACATGAAACTGAAAGTCCAAGTACTACACTTTTAAAGTTTGGTGACGTATTTGATACAAAATTGAAACTTCATCAATTTAATCACTTTGCCACTTCAAAATTGCAAGAATAGAATTTGAATAGGACCTTCAAATTTCACTAGCTTTTCACTCATTTCTTTATAATATGCACCACCTCCTCTTCACATTAAACCATTTGTTCGGAATCATGCATGTAGGCCCCTCCCAATGTTCTTATTCCTACTTACGTATTCTCTCTTCACTAATCAAGGAAAGAAAGCCTAAATAAGGTCATTTCTTTCCAACTATGATTCGATTCTTCTTAGCTTGATCATTCGATTAAGGTTCTTTGGATCAAGAAAGATAAAAAACTTTAAAGTTCAGAGATTTATTAGACATTTTTTAAAGTTCAAACACTTATTACAAACTTAAAAAAGATTAAACTTGTAATTGAACCTTTCACTTTTCTAATTGCTTGTTTGGTTTCTCGTTTACGAGATACTCGTTGAATCTATCGTTATTGTCCATGACCGAGTAAATCCTCAGACCCAGCCACAACTCTAAGGGTAAAATATGAGTAGTAAGATCTCGAGTATCAGTCAAAAGAGATACCGAGAGATACCAGACTCAATTTAGTTGCCACCTACTCGCCAACAATGAAATGAACTTTATATCGGGTATGATCATAAGTAGACAGTTGGACAAAATAAAACGACAAAATTATGACAAAATTATGGACAACCAAAAGGTTGCTTTTCACTAAAAACACAGTTCAAGAAATCCCCATTTGCAAACAAGTCCAAATTTTGTTGATAGACATAGCGGTGCCCAAAAAGCTTGCTCTGTTCTTCCACTCTCCTCATAATCTCGACACATGTCTTTCTCCACCACATGGCATTTTCCCCGACAAATTAGAAAACCCTTTAAATTTTATTTGCTACGTTTATAAATCTGAATCCCCAAATTCTCCACAAACCCAAAAATTATCTCTTCTTTTTCACCTCCCCATTCGATCAAAAATGTCTCCGGCGAAGTTTCTGATTTTCGTCGTCGTCTTCCACCTCAAGTCCGCCGCCGNTCCAAATTCTGACCTCCAAAAATGTACTTAAAATGTTGTTAAGAAAACAAATAAACAATTTCTAAGCTTTATTTTAAAAAACAGAAAATAGAAAATGAAGTAGTTATAAAACGAGCGATATTAAATAACTTTTTATTAAGTTTTTTAGATAAAAAAGAAAATTAAAAAGGGACATAAAAATTAGAAACAAAAACTCTTAATCTTTTATTTATTTCATAACCCACAGCTTAAAAAGAAAAAAGGAAAAAAAAAACTAATTACAAATGAGTAAAGATTTAAGAGCAGAGTTGGAGTGAAGAGATGACAATTACTCCTTGATACTCTTACTTTATCATAATCCAAAAAATTATATTAAACACTGAAAGTTTTATGATTTTTCTCTAACTTACCCCTAAAGTTTTAGAATAATGGAAAGATTATATATAAGTTCAAGAAGATGAGTTTTGCCTCCACTCATGTTTAAGACTACGACTTTTATGATGGAAAAAAAAAATCTCATTTCTATCGTGGGAATAAATAGAAAATTAATGGAGAAAAAAATCACCGTTCATTGCTGAATAAAAAAGTATTACAAAAACTCTGAATTCTCTCTCCAACCCTACTTACAAAAAAAAATACTCTCAAAACTTACATAATTACTAGAATTAGTATATCAGAGTTAAGTCTTCCTACCTGAAATGAACAAAGTTCACAAATCCATTTTACAGTACTCAGAGCATATCACTTCATATACATTTTTGACGTGGGATTTTTATTGTTCTAATATTTTACGAAAATCCCAACATTTGAAATACAGTATTAATGTTATTGAATCGATCACTTAAAAACCTGTTTGGTACTATTCCTGTTTTTTGTTTCTCATTCTCAATTTTCTTAAGAAATCTAAGCCTTTTGCAACTAACTATGTTTCTTGTTTCTCATTTTTTGAAA